TATATATATATATATAGATCTAATCTATCTATAATTTTTTCTAAAATTAATTTAATTATAAATTAATTTTTTTCAATTTGAAATATAAATTCAATTATCAAATCTTAATTTGAAAATGAATTCTTTGTATTTCTATCAATTTTACTTTGAAACCAAAAATATTGATACATTGAATACAAAAAAAAAAATGTATAATATCAACAATTTTTTCAATGGAAATAGATTTTTTTCAGTTGAGTTATACGATATACGAAACAATACAATTCTATTTTGCAAAAGAAAAGAAAGAAAAAATAATCAAACAGAAGTTACACTTGTTTATGCATTGCATTCTAAACTTTAAATGATTTTGAAAATAAAAAATATTTATGTCAAGGCATAAAATCATATCAATATCAATGGCAAAGAGATTGAAAAAATTTTAGCTTTTTTTTACAAAAGATTTATATTTGTGAAAAAAATATTTTTTATTTTTTTTAATAAATTTTTTTTAAAAAATAAATTACATTTATAGAATAAACATCAAGATTAATGATCAGATGTGCACTTTGCATTTTTTTTCTTGTTGATGATAAACGGGATTAGTGACCTAACGATAAGCTTGATTATAAAAATTATATCTAACTTCATAGTATATCAGCTAAATTATGTACTTCTTTACTCGGGTATTTTCAAAATGCTTTTTATGTATGAATAAATTTTAAAATTATTAAAAGAAAAAAAGATTATATTTTTCAATAATAAATAGCATAATCGAAGATTTTAAATACAAAAATATTTTTGATTATTTAGAAATTAAATATTGTTTAATAAATTAAATTTTAAATAATTAGTAAATGGAAAGGATTTATAATATCTTTTAGAAAATTTATTCTTTACTTATAAGTAATCTAAAAGTATAATTATTTCTTCAATATATTCTATTATCTTGTAAAGGAATAATGTAAAATATCTTTAAAAGTAAGAACAATTCTATGAATTTGCAGATAAACATTACAGAAATAGTATATATAAATATAAATATATACTATAAATACATATCTTACAAAGTAAAATCTGAATCTAATCAAAAGATTTACAACCATTTAGTTAACTTTAATGCAATAACTTTAATACACAATTTAATACAAATTTAGAATAAAATGAAAGAGTTGAACAACAATTTTCATTTTTTTGAAAAGTTTCATCAAAAGTTCTGTAGAAAATTGCAAATATAAAAATATATTATTAAAACAATCAAATTAACTTTTAGATTTTTTTATCTGCAGATATTTTTGACAAAATTTATATTGATTTTTATTCAGATAGAAATATAATTATATATATATATAATTATTTTCATTATATTATTTCAATTTTAATCATTTTAAATTATATTGTAACAATCTATTATATTAAAGCAACACGATTACGAATATTTACATACGTATTATAAGTATTATAAGTATACAAAGTACGTGTAATGAAACTCGGCCTGACAAACGAGTTAAATGCCTCTCGAACTTACATCTCTTTCAACGAGTTTTATCAACTTGCATTTACAATGTATATATCAACACCCTGTACATGACCGGTATCATACACCACCCACAGTATCTGCGTAGTCAGCATGCTCGACCCGACAATGTTCGGCTGCGCCACTCTGGTTTCCGCTCCCGTAAAAGAAGGACCTCGTAACGTCTCCTTCGTTCATTTACAACCACCTGCTCATCGAGAAAGCATCGGGATTCTTTTAGTTTATCCATCAGTTGCCTATTACTCGTGAGGAACGGGTGCAAGAAAAACCAGAATGAAGAACAATGCGACTTCCGGTCTTCCACTATCTGTCTGTGCGTCCATTTACGCGCTAATAATCCTGATTTCTTTCACCGATAATTCTTATGCTAAACGTGAGTAATATTTTTATTTTATTTAATTTTCAATATTATTCAAACTTATTTATTTTTTTTTTTTTGGAAAGTATATTTTTAAAGTATCAAACTTGTTAATATTATTACTAATTATTTTAAAACAAAATTTTTCCGATAATAATTATTTTTAAAATTTATTTTTTCGTGTTGAAAAGATAAATTTTCTTGATAATATTTTTGGATGTATTGTATTATTATTTTTTAACAAAGACACAAATAAATTTATCTTTGTATGGGAAAACTAGTCACGCAATAAAATACTTTAGAACATGCAATTTCGAGATTCACTTTCGAATAATAGAATTTTGCAATTGTTAGCGAATAAATATTTATTTTGCTTGAAATTAATTTCATATTATTAATATGAGTTTTCGAAAAATAAGAATATGTGAAGTAAAATATTTTGATAAAAATTTTGATATATAATATTATTAATATTATTTTACTATTACATAACATACTATACATAAATAATTAAAAAATATTAAAAGATTAAAATTAATTTATTTGGACCTTATTTCTTCTATAATATTATTAAGATTCAAGATAACAAGTTTAAAATTTTTTATTTTTACGCAGAATAACACATTACAATTAAAATTTCATTTTCACAACAAGTTTATAAAAGTATTATTTATTATCTATAAGTGTTGTATTTTTAAATTAATAGAAATATAAAATTATATGTTTCTTCGAAATATTATTATTGCAATTTAATGCATCTTTCTATATTTTATTATTAGTTAGATAAAAGAAAATAGAATTTTACAAAGTCATTACTAAAAGCAATTTATATTAAGAAGAATTTTATTTGCTTTATATACATTAACTTTATATATATATTAAAAAAATAAATATGATATAATTTATAATGTATTTTAATAAAAATGATTT